CCCCCCCCCCCCCCCCCCCCCCCCCCCTTTAAACGTTACCAGCCGGGAAGAACGCCCGGCCTCTCCTTCCCCCACCGCTAGCTCCAGGGGCGGGTGCCCCCAAGGGCAAAGCCAAGCCCAAGAGTTCCCGCAGCAAGAGAAGCGCCTCTTTTTCTTGGGACACGAGGACGCCGACGCCAGGGGGGGGGGGGGCACCGCAGGGGGCGTCTTCCTCATCGAGGGGGGGGGGTGGCTTGACGTCCTCGGAGTCGTGTTCGGGGACGTCCGAGGGCGACGAGTCGGCGGCGGCGGCGGCGGCGGTGGCGGCGGCTGCTGCGGCGGCCTCTGTTGCGGGAGTCGTGCCTTCGCCCAACCGGGTGTACTACGTGGTGGATCCGAAGGAGGTGATGGGGCTGAACCAGGCCTTCATGTGTCCTTTCCTGGCGAGGTGCGTGGCGGGGTCCGTTGCATGCAACGACACAAGATAACGCACCCCGTGGACCGATTTTCAATGCTCGATTTCTCCACGACGAAGAGGATGCACAAACGAAACGATGCGTTTTCGGAGAGCTCTCTCTCTCGACCAGACGGCTTCAACGCAGCCGTTTCCGGCACCCCACCTCTTTCTGCTGTTGATAGAATCTAGCTATGAAAATCGGTCCAGGCGGTGTGTTATCTTGTGTTACGGTTGTTGCCCCTCTGCTAACGGGGGTGAGGGGTACTCACGTTGAACGCATGCCGTGGTCGTTAGACCTCGGATCTCGCATGGCGGGATGGAGCGATATGCCGGGTTGCGGTTCGCAAGGATAAAAGAACCAGAAAGCTGGCCGTCGTCCTTGCGTTTGCTGTGCCACTCCAGATATGTGTGCCATCTGCCATCTGCCATCTGGGTGGAGGAAGGGCGTTTGCCGTGGTGCGAAAGTAGTATTGTAGGGCGACGGTGGTTCGACGGTGGTTCCTCCTACCCTCGCTACATCCATCCAACCAAAGCTCTTTTGGCACGCGCCCAACGCTGTGATACTGCTGTGCCCCCCACCCCGCCTGTCACAGTACCGACCAATCGCCTGTTGCGTGATTTTGCTGCGCTCTGCCTTCCCCCTTTGCGTCGCGATGACGTCACACTGACCAGGTCTCCGCAGCTGCTGGTGCCGGGTATGCTGAAGGCGTCCTTCAGCACCAAGTCGAACCGCTTGTGCAGCGTGCAGTTCTCCTTTGACCCCACCGTCCCGGCGAGGCAGCTGGCACGCGCTGCCATGCTCCAGGGCCGCGCGACCCCGGGCATGGCCGGGATGATGGCGGGCATGCTTGGCATGGGAGGGGTGGACGTCTCGTCCTTGATGGCGGCAAAGGGAGGAGGCGTACCCAGCGCTGCCCGAGAGTGAGCAAATGACTTGGGCATCTCTCTCTGTGTTCTGTTCTTGCAGATTTTTTGCTGCTGGGAGTGAGCATGACGTTAAGGTGTCTTTTTCGGGTCTGTCATTGCTGATCTTGCTGTCGGATTTCTTTCTTTTTTCTTACAAATCCCGCGACAGATCCGTCTCTTCCACGGACAACAATCCGTGACAGTTAAGCAGTGAACTTCTAGTGTTGTGTGCATGTGGTGACCAATTATTGTTTTTTTCATCTGGCGTTTCCTGCCATCGTGACTTGGCATCTTTTTGGGTTTGTTGTTGCTGTCGGGCGTGTTCGTTTTTTTCTGCGTCCCGACATAAAAAAAGGTGGTGATGTACTCTGTAGTGGCAGCCCCTCACCGTCTCGGTCGTATGTACCGTAGGAGATATGACACAAGACACCACACCCCCGATGCTGGATTGTTCCACAGCAGTAGAACGAGTCGCGGTGCAGAAACTAGCGGCGTTGGAACAGCCTCTTTCGAATCAATCCGAAAACGTGTCATTTGATTTTGGCATCCTCTTCATCGTGGAGTAGTTGAGCTTTGAACAATCGGTCCAGGGGGCGTGGTATCTTGTGTCATGTCACCTACGGTATGCACATGGCAGTTTGGCAGGATGTAATTTGGAAGTACCTTGCCCTGAAGCTCTGAGTGATCTGGCGTGTCCCGCGTGTCCTGCAGTTTGATGTCATTCATCCATCATGGGCCACAGTTGTGCGGCGAGGCTGTCGTGGCTTGGTCCTCAGTGCTCCGGCAGGAAACAAGAACGCATGATACACAAGAACCCTGTTACCGTTTTGTTGTTTTCCCTCGCTTGTGCGATCGATCCGAACCCTTTCCCTCGCGTTGTCCCTTCCTGATTCCTCCCTCCCTCCACCTCCACCGCCGTGCTGTTATCTTCTTTTTGTTTTCCTACAATACGCATCGATCGATCGATCGGACCCTTCCCTTCCCCTCCAGTCGATCGATCCCTTCCGAAAGCTTCCCTCCCTCTACCTCGTCGTGATCTTTGTTGTCGTCTCTCTCTCTCTCTTGTGTGTGTTTTCCATCACCAGCCGCGCTTCCGAGTCGTCGGGCGCGAGCGGAAGCTCGGGAAGCACCGCCGCAAATCCGCCGCCCTTCGTGGGACAGGACGAAGGCGTCCTGCACTCGGTCCTGCAGGACATCCGAGAGTGGAGAGTGAGCTCGACCGTTTTGGACGATCCAAACCAGGGTGAGCATCGTTTCTTGTGTCTTGTGGCTGTAAAGATTTGCTAAGTAGCTATGTAGACCTGCATTCAAATATGTCGCCGGTTTGTGTAGTGTTGTCGAGAGCTTCTGTGGACGATGCTAGTCTGTTGATTTTTTTTTGTGGTTTCACCGTCGGTCGTTGTTGTGTCTCGTAGCTTGTGAAGATGATCAGATAAGACGTGGGTAAATATCTATGCCATGCATTCAAAGATGTGGCCACCTTGTGTGGTTTCTGTGGAGAGCTTGTGGACGATCCAAGGCAAGGTGAGCATCGTTTGCGATTTCGTGACTGGGGAATTGCGGATTTTTTTCCAAGACTAGGCATTAAATCTGTCGGTGGGTCGGTAAATATCAAGACTGTCCATGAGACGTATCGGTTGATAGCTATATATTTGAAGACTATGCACTAAAAAATGTCGCCCCTTTGCAAAGTGATTGTAGGTAACTCTACGGCTGTGAACGATCCAAGGCAGGGTGGCGTTTCTATTTCTTTTTCACCGTTGTTGTGTTGTGTCTTGTTGCTTGTGAAGATACCTGCATCCCCTTCGTTCATGGCTATAGACGAACGGGTAGACTTTCTGTGTTTTTATTTTTGTTTTCTTCACATTTAACTCGTGTCAGTTGAAAATAAAAAAGAAGAAAAAACTACCCCCTCCTGTGTGACCCTGGATGGTTATAGTTGTACGAAAAAATACACTGAAAAAGTGTAGTAAACGTCTCACCACGAAAAATGAGGGGACTGTCGCCTTAAGGAGTAGGACGAAAACACACACACACACAGTTGCTAGTCCCAAAATTTAGCGAAGACTCCTTGCGTGGTCACAAAAATGCTAGCGCCACCAGAAGATCCAAAGAACACGCCGTACGTTTGCGTCCTCAAAACTGAACTACATGTCCGCACACAACATTCGACTACAGCACCATCACCCCCCTCCCCCTATTACACTCTTTTGCCAAAGTATTTTTCTTACAAAGGAGTGGAGTATAGATAGCTAAACAGGTTAACCATGGGAAAAGGTATGGATGTGTGGTTTCTGTGGAGGCTGGCCGATGGTCCCGAGAACATCCTACCGTAGGTTGCAGAAGATATCACACCCCCTGCACCGATTGTTAGAAAATCTCAATTACTCCACGACGAAGAGGATGCCGAAACTGAAGTATACGTTTTCTGAAAGCTCTCGACGAGACGGTTCCAACGCCGCCCGCCATTTTTCGACACCGTCACTGCTTTTCCTGCCGAGGTATCGAGTTTCGAAAATCGGTCCAGGGGGTGTGATATCTTATGCAACCTACGGTGGTGCTTGCTCTCGCGGCACGATGATTGGTAACTCTTTGTATTTTGTTCTGCTTTGCGTGGCATCGTTTGGTCCAAGAAGTAGTTATCAGTGCCTCCATACTGCTGTTGTGTTCTTGACACGCGGTGTCATTGAAAGATCCACAACAGCACCCCTTCTCCTCCTTCTCCTTCTATTTTGGAATCGGAAACCCGTGCTCTCCCGCAGCATGGTGGCCAGCAGTAGCAGAAACGTGGTGCCATATCGTACCGCGGGGTTCTGCAAAAACTACGTGGTTTGCCACGTCTGGTCTTTTCTTGCTGCAGTGCGTGCACATGTTTGTGTGATGCCCCTAATGTTAGCAGTGCAAGTCGAAGGCCCGAGTCTCTTACGCTTTCGTCGATCCTCATTCGCTTTGCCTTGCCCTGTTCGTTGGCTTCCTATCGCTGTCCTCTCTCTCACATCGTTCTCTCTCATGTCTCTGCAACTGTACCTCTCTCTCTCTCCCTCCCTCCATTCCACCCTGAATTATCTCTGTTTCTCTCCCTCTATCTCTCTCCCTCTGATTCATATCGTCCACCTCTCTTCTCCCTCTCTCTCTCCCTCCCTTGCAACCTCTCTTCTCTCTATTTCTCTCCCTCTATCTCTCTCCCTCTAATTCATATCGTCCTATCTCTCCCCTCCCCCTCTCCCTCCCTCCCTTCCTCCCTCCCACCCCCCAGGCAAGAGCTACCTCCGCGTATACCCCCTAAGCGGAGAAACCCCCGGCGTTACACACTTCATCGGCGTCCTCGAGAACCTCGACACCGCACAAGCCGCGAAGCAGCAGCAGCAGCAGCAGCAGCAACAGCAACAGCAACAGGCCGGACCGTCTTCTGCCGGCGAGGGACCCATCTCATCATCATCATCATCGCCTACGGCTGCCGCTAAGGGCGGGGAGCACTCTTCTGGGCTGGAGGCGGGAGCATCGGAGGGGGAGACTTCTTCGGACTCGGCCAGCTCGACGGCGAAGGGGCGCGTTAAGTTCCACGACGGCAGCAGCGGCAGCAGCGGGAGCGGCGGCTCAGACGACGGTACTGGTGCGTTGTTGTTGTTGTCGTTGTTGTTGTTGTTGTTGTTGTTGCTGCTGCTACTGCTGTTGTTTTTTCTTTTTTTTTTTGGTGCCGGTGTGATCACGAGGTGCAGTTGGAAGCTCGTAGAGAAATGATTCTTCGGGACCCCCACGTCTGTTGCTGTGATGTGGAGGTGCAGTTTGAGGCGATTCACACGTTGAGGTCTCGCGGTTTATTTTTCCTGGGCCCTTGTGGTTGACGCCCGCGTCTTTCTGCTTGTGCTGAGGTGTCTTATTTTATGTTGATTGTGACAGGATTTGTTTCTAGAGTTTTGCGGTCGCTCTTAGGCGCCGTTGAATTTGAACAGAAGGTTCTCCCATCATTGGAGGCTTACAGTAGGGGTCTTGACCAACCAACAGCTTTGAAGACTGAGCTTTGACTGAGTTTGACCCAATACACGCCGGTCGTCTCTCTCCCTCTCGCCCCCTTCTACTTCACTACTTGCCCGCCTCTGCCACCCCTCATTCCCGCCGTAAGCGTGCGTATGCATGTCTCTTGACGTTTATTATGCGTATCCACAGAGGTGGGCTAGCCCCCCTCTCCTACTCCATAACGAAACCGCGCTGCTGCTGACCCACACAAGACACATACTGGTGTACCCTGTTCCCCGCCTGTGGTCACCGTGCTGACTGAACACCCATGGCATGGCATGGCATGTCATGACTGCAGGCGCCCGCCACCACAACCACACGGGGGCAAGGTCTGCCCGCCTGACGAGCAACAACAGCATGACCATGACCTCGGGCAGCGACGGCGGCTTCTCGTCGTCCTCGCACTCCAACTCCGGGTCTGGCTCCGGCTCCGCCTCCGGCTCCCACTCGGGCTGCGAAACTCGCCGCTCGTCACGTCGTAGCGGCAGCGGCAACGGTAACGCCGGCCGCAGCGGTGGGAAGAGTGCCGCCAAGTCTTCCGGCGTCGGCGCTAGTAGCCCGGCGGCACAGAGCGGTGGACGCGCGCCCAAAAGGGGCAGGGGCTAGCGAGGTTGGAAAAGGGGGGGGGGGGGGGGTTGTGCCCCCGGGGAGAGGCGACGAGAAATAAATAGGGTTGGGATAAAAATTTAGCGGGGTTGGAGTGCGGTGGTAATTTGCGAGACGGCAGCGAGCGGCGTTATGGGTAGAGGCTTTGCTGTGGGTGTGGAGATGATGTAGTGTTAAGGTATTGTTCAGACTGTTTATGGTAGAAGGAGGCAACCATCATTGCAGCAGTAGGGGCGAGATGGCGGGTGCATAGAACGAAGCTATGCATGTGTCTTCGCCATCGATACCACGGCGGCGGTGCTTGGACCATAAGGGTTAATTTATTGTCGGGAAGCTCGGTTGTTGGCCCTCTCGATGTGGACAGGATTGAGGAAAGCTGACAAGGTTTGTACAAGTGTACGCGTGTAGGTGACCAGGCCAAAAATAGC